GCAGAAGTAGCAGAAGTAGCAGAAGTAGCAGAAGTAGCAGAAGTAGCAGAAGTAGCAGAAGTAGCAGAAGTAGCAGAAGTAGCAGAAGTAGCAGAAGTAGCAGAAGTAGCAGAAGTAGCAGAAGTAGCAGAAGTAGCAGAAGTAGCAGAAGTAGCAGAAGTAGCAGAAGTAGCAGAAGTAGTAGCAGTTTATATTAAAGCTTACTTAGCTTTCTGGATAAAAGAACTAGAGGCTTGATAGTTTTCCCCAGCTTTAGATTCCATTCATTCCATGAGTTTGAACCTGGGCCTGGGCCTGTACTTCCAGTTAGCGAGTTTCTTCTGCTGCTCGCCCTTTGACTTGTTGGAGTTGTTGTTCTTATCCACTCAGCCATTCGCGGTAGCGATGGTTCTGCGCCATTGCTTCTTGGAGAGTTGGCTGATGAGGGGTTTGGGACTGCTACTGCTTCAAATGAGGAGGAGGGGAGCAGGTTGGGGTTGCTACTGCTATCGTTGATCTTCAGCTTGTTGCTGTGACTGTTCGGCGTTGGCATCCACGCCTTGGTCTTGACCCTGTTGTTGCTGAGGCTGCGCGACACAGTCATCCACTCCCTGAGCTTGAGCGGCTGCCTGTGCTTGAACCTGAGAATCAGTATAAACTAACAATAGGTAAATGCAAGATAATGTACCGCAGCTGCCACCGCTGTCACCGCTGTCACCACGGCCACCATCGCGGCCGCCGCGGTATCAACCGATAGGGTTGAGAGAAATGTTTTATGTCGAAGAGAGAGTGCAAAGGCAAATCAAAACAAGGGCATGCACTACAGCGAGACCTCAAAACCCCAACATGATTTGCAACTTCAGGGTGCTCGGCGTGTGGGATATCTTTACGCGAATGCTCGTTACGACGGCCAAGACACCGATAAATGATTGGCCACGATGGTAGAAGAGTTAACGATGATATAGGAAGTTCTTGCAAGGTTCAGATTGCGTGCTGCTATGCAAATCTTGCTACGAGTGATGGTTGGTAGCATAGCAAGCAAACAACAGATACGAGCAGCACTGGGTAAAGAGGTGTACAGCAGGAAGCATTTGTTGAAGATAATGCTCGCCTTACAATGGCTGGATATCGCTGGCCTAGAGCCATTTCGAGGCAATGATAACCAACAAGGACTTCTTTCTCTCTTTGGGGCCAACAGAGGGCTGATAAGTATGCCACTGTCTACTAGGTATGCAGTGAGGATGACAGGCATTTCTTGGTTAGGCTAGTCTTATAGTCACAGTTGCAAAGTAGCTATTTATAACCGGAACGGTCGTCTCAATGATGTGGTCTCTTCGTGGCTGCTTTTGGCGAAGCAAAAATGCTCAAACGATCCATTTCTGCGCGTGCAAGCTCTACTCATTCCTAGATCGCTTCAGCTCTAGTGTTATAAGAAACATTGGGATCACATAAGACCGAAGATGAGTGTTCTGACTGTAGTATTTGAGAATGATCCGAGGAGTAAAACTTGTCTTCTATAGCACGCAGCAACTGGCGCCGTAGGGCAAACATCATCTTTATTCAGATCACCTCCTCCCTCATTTTCTTTTCCATCATCTCCCAGAGTCCCTTTGACCTATATCCCGACAGCCAATAGTTACCCTCAGCATCTTTCCCCACAATGATGACTGCATCTGTAAAATTGTATGGACCCTGTACGCTCTGGACATACGATGGTGTCAGTGGTGTTTGCCGTGGCATCACAGTCGCAGTCATCAAGTCCACCTTGTACATATTGCTTTTCTGCCAATTAGAAAACATGAACAGGTGCATTGATCTATCACCAAAGAATGGAGGCGCCCTATTGGCTGGGTCAAGTCGGACCAGCGATGTGTAGGCCTCGACTTGTTCGCGAGACCCTTGGTCTGTAATTGAGCGACGGATCTGGGCCGCTACATAGCTGAGTGGCTTCTGAAGTAGATCTTTAACCGGCAGCAGAGTACTAAGAAAGCCAACGCAGTTGCTGAGGAATGGACGCCTATCGGGTAGTAGGTCTGCCAACACCGGCCTCCATTGATAAGCCTGTTGTATGGCGACCTGGATGGCAAAGTTAGCATACAGTCTTCAGTGGTTCGGCACATAGCAATACTGGTTACTTACCGTTTTCTCCGAATCCTCTGAAAGATTAGCCATTGCCAAGCGCGATACCCAAGCAACTAGGACATCTCCTTCGCTTAGAAATGGAACCTCCGATTTCTCGCCAGCAATCTGAGCAGCAAGTTCCGCGAGAGCCTTCTCTCTTAACTTTGCGAGATACGTCGCAGGCATACAGACCATGCGATGCTCTTTCTCACTGACTATCAAGTTGTAGAAGTTCTGGAGTACCCACCAGACAAGGCCTGGCTTGGACAGATGGTGCTCGGCAAGGACATGGGGCTCTGTAGGATTCTTGCCAAGGTGCTCCAAGATATACTCGTGAGGGCCCAGTGGCTCCAAGATTTCACTCTCTCTGCCCTGGAGCATCAGCATCCAAGCATCTAAAAGGGCCCGCTTTGCTGTCGCGTCAAAGGCGAGGTGTATCCAATGCAGGACGACCACGGTCGAGTCCTTGAATGAGACAACCCGTAGACCAAGCTGAGGACGGTCGGTATATATATAATCATCAAGCTTTTTAGGTACTTCATGGCCATAAATCAGGTCCGAGAGGTCATCGGGATCTCCCACAACCGCCGGCTGATCATTACAGGGACGGGGTATACACGATGCAGCGGGATGGTCTTCTTTTGCGAAAGCACTGTAGTCCACATGGCTAAATTCCACTGCTGGGCGGTCTGGAGTGAATTCGGCTGGTATATGGTGCTCCAATTCCCCACGGTCCTATATGGGGCACAGCTGTTAGATATCGGCGGCTGACCGATGGGAGGAGGCTCACATTTCTTCTTAGCCGAGCACCCAGCTTGCTCCAGCCAGGGCGGCTCACGACACGTTCCAGCGAGGTACGCAGCCTCTCAGGATCGAGGACATCGTCGAAAACAAACAGGGTGTATAAGACAAACGTTCTGAAAATAATAGTATCGTCAAAGAAGCCGACCGGGACAACGAGGTCAGTTGGCACGCGCTGGGGCGCCTTTGGTGGACGAGAAAAGAAACCAAACATGCTTGTCAAGCGTTGCCCCTCGGAAGTAGACAGATGGTTACCTCGAATCTTATCTTATTGAATGCGCGAGGAAGTATAGAACATCTAGTGGCAGCTGCAGCGGCTTCTGCACTTTATAAGCATTCTACATTTATTCCCTTATACTACTGTTGGCTTGCATGTTGGTTACACGTAAGGTATCCATCATACATGTACTTCGAATTTGAGTCTCACCCACACAAGCGGTCTGACCCTCTTCAGAACCAGCATGCACTCCGTATCTATTGCCTCATTATATTGGATAGTGGGCCTTTCTTCTTATAGTACCTGTTGGTTCCACTTTTAGTAGTACATTGTTGAGTTCTGATCATATCACTTTGTAAATACTATATAAGTAAAGAGGTAACTGCAATTATCCTATGAATAGCTTACTTGTATCATACAAGAGTCAAAAATCGTGTTTGTTAGACAGAAAAATTATCTAGCACCCCAATTCTATTTCCAGCACTCCAGCTATAGCATAGGTAGGCTGCCGCCGCTATTACTGTTATTGCTACTACTGCTGCTACTACTATATGTAATTTTAGGTGTATCTAGCTGCTGTGTGTTTTGATAAGTGGACTGGCTGCATCATTGCGCTACAGCTGGGGTGTTCAATAATGATTTCGGGGTGCTAGATAAATTCTCCCTTCTTATGGAAGGTTTAGACGTGAAAGGAAAGCTTGAATAATTTACACTATTTTATAACAGCTTTATCATCTACACGCCTTTCGAGACTTAAACGGCATCAGTTATCCAAACAGTGTTACGCTCGCCCATTCAACCAAGCTTGACATTGATCCGATCAACAGCCTCTTGCTCCCAAATTTCCCGTGGAATAATGGTAGTAGTGCCTTTCTATACGCAATGTAAGTATCATCCCGAAAGATCTACATTACATTGTAGATATCTTCCGTTCTAGGCAGCTCGATGAGGTTATTAAAATGTGTGAGGGTGGGTGTATCCGGCATTTCCCACATGAAGTCACTTTCCCTCGGTGTCGTACAACCAAGGATGGCGATGAGCTCGATAGACATGCAATCTTCTAGATCATTGTCATCATGTTGCCACAGTGTGCCAGCAGGTCTGTAGTTCATGGTGTGGATGCGAACCACAGAGCTCCGTGTCTCCCTAAGTGTGAAATGGCCGGACATGGTTCGGAAAGTGAGCAGATTGGTATTAAGAGCAGAAATTATCGAGGTGCTTGACGAAATAGGCAAACAGATTGGATATCGTTCTTCTGTTCTGAAAAGTTCTTGAAGATGACCTCATTAGAAGACAGAGCCCATTCCTGAGAGACATATTCTCCAATACCATGAGTTTTCCAGCCCGGGAGAGAGTTCTGATTCATCATCTGAATCGCTTATTCGAGCCAAAGAGCTTTAATTGAAACTCTAGGTCCACTTGCGGCAATATAAAACAGCTGAGTTCGAAAGAAGGGTTGTGGTTTTATCAACATGATCGGCGTTGGGCCAGCAAAGTCCTTTGTAAATCTCCAAGTATAGGGCCAGATAACTTCTGTCTCCCATCCTGCCCAAGACCAGCCAAGCAGATACACTGGGCCATTACCAAGTCTCTTTGGTCGCCTTCTGGAAGCATTACCTGTCCTTCTCAATGGACGCCAGAGTAAGCACAGACCAAAGAACATTTCCAGAAGGCCTGAAATCAATCTTCCGTTGAATTTCTCCGCTCATCGTGTTGCTACCCTAGCAAACGCGAACAGCTCATCTTCGTCATATGTGAGTTTCCTAGTATTGTAGCTATTCATCAAAGTTTTGGATTCTTTGAGCACTGGCAGTTTATGGGCTTCCAACTGCAGTGACAGTGAACGATGCTGATTCTGTTCGATGCCAGAATAAGTACTCACACAGTCCGTAGTATGAGATTTTTCACTCCATCTTTTCGCCCTGTAACACCAACGTACAGTGTTGTTGGCAAAGTATAGAATTCTATGTGGGAATATAGCCTCTTAGGATGTCTAGGCTCGACTTGACCATGGATTTAGCAATGAGTTATCCCAGATTTGCTTCGATGAGGTTTTGACGAGGCATTCGTTCGACGACAAAGATGCTGTTTTCTGCTTAGCGAATCGATCTAGACCTCGAAAGCCCGCATCAGAGGGTTGAATTGGCATAGAGGCTCGCCACGGCATCGAGATGGTCAATTGTTAACTGGACCATTTTGGACAATATACAACACAAATAAGCCTCTAGGATACAAACAAGGGAATTACATGACTTAATTTGGATTCACAAGAATGCGATAAAGGAAGACGTCAATTTAACAAATTAGCTCGACAGGGCCCTGAGTTTTCTACTGCCTATGGTCATATGTGCTAGATACATGTATATGCGCGGGAAAATGTTATCCAGCACTCTAGCTATAGCATAGGCTACTACTGCTACTACTGCTCCTACTGCTACTACTGCTACTACTGCTACTATTACCACTATTGCTGCTATCACTACTGTATTACTATTACTGCTACTGCTACTGCTACTATTACTACTGCTGCTGCTGCTGCTGTTACTACTATTACTACTATTGCTATTTTTTTAATGTATTTAGCAGTTGTTTATATGTAATTTAATTGGACTAGCTGTCTTATTGAAATACGGCTGAGAGGTTGGATGATGAAATTGGGGTGCTGTGTAATTTGTCTATATATATACATATATATACATATATGTGTGTGTGTGTGTGCGTGCGTGTGTGTGCCTAGACAAGCGTGTATCTATGATAGGAATATATGTAAACGTACTCCCACTCTCGTCTTGTGAATAAATCCAAAAAGTAGAAACCATTACATCATGCTTTTGTTGTCTTGTCCCTTCGAGAGATGGCTTCTTTTGAGCCGCAGATGGCCAAACAAAATAAAATGATGGTTGCCGGAAGCCTTCTAAAGGTACATCTCGTTCAATCAGCGATATCATATTTTTGCTACTCTTTCTCTACTGGCTCTAATACCCCAATGTGATACACCTTCTCCTTGCTATTATCTATTCTGTAAGGAATCATTTCTCTGGTTTGATTTAGATGAACACTTCCCCATCTCAGATACTCTCCAAAACTTGAGGGCTCGCAGTCCCTTCCTTCTCCCTGTTGATCGAGAAGATCCGCAAGAAAGTCCTTTCCGCCGGGATGGCCATGGGACAGCTTCATCGTTGAGCTATTCGCCAGTGCATCATGTACAAATTCCTGCGCCTCGAGCCATTTCTCACGCACTTCATCCGACTCACTGCCGTCCAGTCCGTCCCTTCGCGTCGTCAGATAGCCGAGCTGCTGAGGACCAGACCAGTTAGTCTTCGGCTGCACGTAGTATGTCTCTTGCATTGCCTTTGCGAATAATATATTCTCCCGATAGTACTTTGGTCCATCGAAGCCATCACTTGGATCAACAAGCTTACGAAGCCGCTCCAAGGCTACGAAGTGAGCGAGATAGTCGGTAAAGGACTCCATTGTCACATCCAGCTCAAGCTTGCTCTTGCTCAAGGGAGGATTCAACAGCGGCAGATGCCTCAGGAGGGGGTGTTTGTGGAATCCATCAGCATTTGTGACGCCCTTCCACATGGTGAGATAGATGTCATGCCAGCGCTTGATGAAGGGATTGTTCCTCTTGGCGGCAATGAAGCCGTTTATCATGGCATCTTCATCGGGACGTAGACGGAGCACGAAGCCAGCCATCTCATATGGCGTGGCTGGGTCCTCAATCTGCCGCCAGCAGATGTCATCGATGTGTCGAAACAAGAGAGTTCCGGCATCAAGCCACACGCCGCCATATAGCCATAGCAGGGGCAGCCTAACTAAATCACCCGAGTGCTGACCCACGCTCGGCCCGTCCATGGTGCCATCTAGCAAAGCATCGGGGAGGAGCTTCTCAGGAATAAAATGGCGGACATTTGCCTCTGAGCCTTGAGCAAGGTCCAGTACATGGACAGTCCAATCGGGACCCAGCCTTCTGACCCAGTTGATAACGTTACGACGGCACCATGGCCGCATGGACAGAAAGCCGGAGTGCCAAAAGGCCCAGACGTTCTTGTCAGAGCTCACGGCGTGGCGGGTGGCAAGCCATGCTGAGATCTCTTCATCACTCCGGTGGTCGGTGATGATGGGGGAGACGGGGACCAGGCCGGGCGGTAAAGTGGATAGATCAGGCGGATTTGTAATTGTTGGAGGCGCGATAGGAGGATACAGCCTGGACGTAGACGGGGACATGGTAAGCTTCTAAGTTTAGGAGATCAGTATGTAAAAAGGAGTTGCGTTGGTTCAGAGGACTTGTACTGTCAACTTGGTAGGGAGTTTATAAAGCCCCATAAGCTGTAGAGAGTGCTGTTGAGACGCCTTGTGTCCCCATAGATAGGAGCTGGCCCCCCAAGTGTCTTAAAACGCCATCTGGCTGTTTGTTTTAAACGATACCTACTATATCACTGCATGGTAGAAGGTTGCGGTAAGTTGGCATGTTTATGGCTACTTGTAACTACCTCTTTGAGTTAGATCAGGACCATAATGCATGTAGGGCTCTGTTAGATTAGATCCGCGAGATGTAAAACGTCCAGCTGGAAGGATCGGTACTCCGCGGAACACAGCTTATCGAGCACACGCATGCCTAGCTAGGACACACGTTACAGCGAGTTGAGGATGCGTAGCGGAGACTACGATAAGGCCTTTGATGAAACCGACACCAGAAGGCGGGATAGACGAGGTAGCGGCAAGGACCACATTGTCTGTAACATTCAATCCTTCGTCTTGTCATCCTGCCCGGATAAAAGCATAAGAAAGAATCCTGGGGCACCTGGTACATAGTGTCGCATCGTAAATCTTACATCTAGGGTGGGGCTGCAGATCTGACGGTAGTCGTATAGTAGACTACATGGTAGCTGGGGATTCTGGTGTTAGGGTTATCTACGTACAACGTGCTATATGCGACATGCAGCGTATCTAGGCTCTCAGGCAGGTAAACTAAGCAGAAGGCCACCTTGTCCCGTGTGCTATATTATTTGTCTCTCGTGCTGTCTTCTTTATTACATGTGGCCACTCTCCTGCAGACGCATCCAGTGTGCGTGAAACTTTATGCCAACTGAAGCCATATCAGTTTATTCTTCTCCACTCAACTCACGCTGTCATGCCTCACTCAACTCACGCCGCCACGCCTCGCTACAAGGCCATTATTTTGGATTTGAATGGCGTTCTTCTTTCTTACGGAGGCAAAGCCCCCTCAAGCGTCTTGAAACCCAGCCAGATCAAGAACGTGCTCGACTCGCCGACATGGTATGACTATGAGTGCGGGAAAATCTCATCTCGTCAGGAATGCTACGAAAAAGTCTCTTCAGAATTTGAGATGGACGTGAATGTCTTCTCAGATGCCCTGGAACAGCTCACCAAAACAGTCAAACCGCATTCTGAATTCATAGCTGCCATCAAGAATATCAAAGCAGCCTTTCCAGAGATCAAAATTTATGGAATGAGCAACATTTCGCAGCCAGACTATGAGTTTCTGAAGCCAATGATTTCATCGTGGGGCATCATAGACGGTTTTAGGCCCAGCTATGAGGCGGGAAAGAGAAAGCCAGAGAATGCCTCTTACATAACGTTTCTGGAAAAATTTGAGCTTAATGTCAGAGAAGCTATATTTATTGACGATCGGGTGGAAAATACCGTGGCTGCTTCAGCGCTAGGATTTAAAGCAGTGACTTTTAGCGACCCACAAGAGGTTGAGAGGCGCATTTGGAACTTATTAGGAAATCCCGTGGATCGCGGCATGGAGTATATGGAGAGAAACGCGAAGAAGATGATGCTGGAACTAAGCACTGGAGGAGAACAGCCTGATAACTTTAGCCAGCTGATCATTTTGGAGCTTACCAAGGACGAGTACGAATGCTCTTGTGACTATTTGGGTCTTCTGGAAGGCAAAGGATAATCAATCGCTAATGAGTATGCAGGCGCTTGATCAAGCTACAAAGAAGGGAAGGGCCGACATGGAACTATTTTCACCACTCCAACACGTTCATGGGCACTACTTACAGCGATGACTGCGATACCACTTCGTATGCCATGTGCACACTGGACGATATCCCCGCTCATGAGAAGGAGGCAGCAATGGACGCGATTCTCTCTAACCTCAGCCCGGACAACCTACCGTTGGTAAGAAGCATTTGAGATTTCTTGTCCTGATATATGTTTTCTCTAACACGAAGTGATACGCACAGTGTTGGTTCAACAAGAGCCGTCCTCGCCTCTGCCATGGCATTATTGCCAATGCTTTCAGGTTTTTCGCTTTAGAGGGCAAAGGCTCTTTACTGGCACATACTTACCTCTTCCTCTGCCGCCTGCTCCGGACGAAGACTTATGAGCTCGGAAGCCGTTACTATGAAAATGTTGACTACATGCCTTACATCCTCAGCAATCTATGCTCGCGGCGGCCTACGGATCCGTCGTTGGTGGAGATGCGGGAGCTACTGAAGAGTGAAATCCGGGATCGGTCAGGGTGCGATAGTGACGTCCTGGGAGCTGCACTGAGGATTTTGAGTGCTCAGGCTATGGGAATACCGTACGCGAAGAGAGATGTGCGAGTGCTGCTGGAGAGCCAGCAACTCGACGGCGGCTGGGCGCGGGTGTGGCTCTTCAAGTATGGGAAAGAGGATATCAAGGTCGGTTCCAGGGGTGTTATTACGGCTATGGCTGTCAAAGCCCTGCGGCAGTACTCAGAAGATGAAAGCAGGGCGATGTGAACGACAGCAGACGAAGAGTTGTATAGACAGGCCGCCTATCATGGCGGGCTGGCGATATTTTTGGCACCCCGCATAAGAAAAGAGATCAATGTACTTGCACCCATTAGATCCGCTTTCATTCCCCATCTTTACCAAAAAGAGATGTTCCCACGTCTTACTACCTGTAGCCACCTTTTCGGTAAGTGGGTACGATCCAACGGGCACATATTGACTACCTGTACACTCGCACACGTCTGAAATACTCATTCTTTTAGCACCGTTAATTCTAGGGACCCCTTATCAAGAGCCCAAATTCCTTAAGAAAGCGCCCAAACCGCCGGGTGCTTATATTGCAAAAGTCACTTATAGTAGCTCTAAGTATACCTAGGTTACTACTATAGGAAATAGCTATGGGAATATATAGGGAGACATTATTTAACACCCTAATTCTGTTATCCAGCCCTCTAGCTTAAGCGTGGGCTGCTGCTAGTATTATTGCTATTACTGCTAATACTACTACTGCTAACTGCTATTATTACTGCTACTGCTAACTGCTATTACTGCTGCTACTGCTGCTACTGCTGCTACTGCTACTACTACTGCTACTGCTGCTACTGCTGCTACTGCTGCTACTGCTGCTACTGCTGCTACTGCTGCTACTGCTGCTACTGCTGCTACTGCTGCTACTGCTGCTTTTTTAAATGTTTAGTATTTCGCAGTTATATATAGCTATATTATTACGCTATAGCTAGGGTGTTAGATAATGAGATTAGAGTGCTAAATAACGTCTCCTAAGTTACAGTACTTTACAGTACCTAGAGCTACTTACCCCAGTTATCTTACTAAGCTATACTAACTAAAAATAGAAGAATTTCACTCTTCTTGGGCTCTTTCTCAAGGAATTTGGGCTCTGGATAAGAGATCCCTAATTCTAATTGTGTGATATAACGCTATGCGACGTATGACACCGAATTTTGGTCGTATAATTCGTGCGATGCCACTAGATCGGGCTGCGTATTTGGTTCTTACATATACGCCTCCTATACAGATACGCTTGCGTATATGAACATGGTCCCCTTGCCGATCAATCCTTCACCTGCAAGGCGATAGCTCCCAATTGCGTGGGGGAAAGAGTAATACTATTTAGGAACGTTGCATCTACAACATTAAATCCTTCGCTTCCTTTCGGATCCTGCGGGTACGTTGGGATAAGCAGGCTCTTTTGTTTGGAGGAGGTGAGTTGGAAGCTTCATGCTTGTCTGACAGGATTCAAGTCCTGCCAACAGTGCCAAGTCAAGCCTCTGGACTGAACTTCTCATTACAAAGGCCCTCGTCTAAGGAAACAATTGCGCTCGGGGACTTTTTATTTTAGCTTCTTGATATTCTTTCCCCTCATTTCCTTCCGCCTCTCTTGCTGGCGTACTCGTAAGATCGTGTGCGCCATGGCGGTCCTGATCCTCCAATCTCCTCTCCAATTATGCCTCTTCGCCATCATACTCTCATTCGTGTACATAGTCTCTTTCCTCTTCTACAATCTTTTCCTTCATCCCCTTCGTAAGTTTCCCGGCCCAATTTACAATAGAGCCAGCGTAATTTCGAAGCTCTACTTCCTTTCCAGAGGCAAACTTATCTACCACATTGAGGATCTCCACAAGCGTTATGGCCCGGTAGTAAGAATTGCTCCCAACGAGCTTTCTTTCACGGATCCTCAAGCATGGGAAGACATCTTCATTCGGCAGCCTCCCGGCATTGCCAAGACTAGCCACAGCCATGCTCTGGCACCAGACATGGCCTTCTACAATCCATTCGGGGATTTGCCCCCGTCGGTGATCAGTTCTGATGATGTCAGTCATACTAGCTTACTAGGAGAAACAGCTTACTTACATCTGTGTACCACATAGGAGGCGCATCACCATCTTCGGAAGAAGCTGGTCCCTGGCTTTAGTGATCGGGCAATGAAGGAGCAAGAGCCTCTCATTGGAAGCTATGTCGATCTTTTGATACGAAGACTCCGGGAGAACAGCACTGATGCCACGGGGAGACCTCAAAGTGTCAACATGCGCGACTGGATCGCCTACACCACCTTTGACATCATCGGCAACCTCACATTTGGGGAAGATTTTGGATGTCTCGAAGGCAGTGGTTATCATCCATGGATCGCGCTTGTGCTGGGTAGCTTCAAAGGCCGTGTCAAGATTCAGATCTTCAATGCTCTTGGCTTCCTATGGTCTGCAAGGATCATGAGGTGGCTGGGCGGTAAAGCCCGCCAGATGCATTTTGAGCTAGTCTTGAGCAAAACGAAAAAAAGAATCGGGATGGGTACTAACCGAAGCGATTTCATGGACACGCTGATAAAGGACGGTATGAGCATAGATGGGCTCAAGAGGAATGCGACATTGCTGGTCAATGCTGGCAGCGAGACCACTGCGACGCTGCTCACGGGAGCTGTTTTTCTTCTCGCAACGCACGAAGACGTGCTAAAGAAACTCGTTGCCGAAGTACGAGGCCGATTCCAGCGGCCAGAAGACATGACTCTCAGCAGCGTAGCCAGCCTGACTTATATGCTCGCTGTCTTGGACGAGGCTCTGCGAGTCTACCCACCCGATGCAGTCTCCTCGCCGCGCCTGGTTCCTGCTGGAGGCCATGAGATTGCCGGGTCGTTTGTTCCCGGGGGCACCCGCGTCGGAATCTGGCAATGGGCCATGTATCGTGACGAACGGCTCTTCCTCGAGCCATCTCGCTTCGATCCTGACCGCTTCTACAACAAGGGAGACGAAAAGTCGAAATATGCCGGCGATCGACTCGACGCTGTGAATGCCTTCCTGCTCGGGCAAAGGAGCTGCATCGGGAGGAACTTGGCTTATGCTGAGATGAGACTCATCCTGGCAAGGTTAATCTGGGAATTCGATATGGAGATTGATCAAAAAAGCGAGAATTGGATGCACGGACAAGAGAATTTTGAGCTGTGGGTAAAGCCAGACTTGAATATCCATTTGAAAACGGTAGATAGGGGGCAGTAACTCTAAGTTTATCAACAACGATAGTCTCTTATAGCAATCCATACGCCTACAACTGCTTTCTGTAATACCCTGGCTACATATAGTTAGTTCTGCTTCGACTGTTGTCTCGCTAGATCTTTGTTGAGGAGCAGCGACATGGTGGACTGAATCTTCTACCTCTTTGGTGATAGGATCAGATTCTTTGTATTGAGGATCCCAAGAGCTAATCAGTACCGTTCGATCTGTACCGAAAAGTTTTCCCAAGTTGTAAAAATCCAATACATTGTTTAATCTTGCTTAGCTAGATGAGATAGAATGTCATTCATGTATCTAGGCCCAGTGTGATTTCTGACTGCCGAGGAGCGTTATTGGTTGTCGGTGGCACCTATATGCGAAAGAGACGAGGGTGCAGCCAGTGCTCCGAACTATTAATCTGCCCGTTATTGGCTGGAATCTAAGAGAACAGGCGGGATCTCATGTTTTGCAGAAGCGCAAGCTTTAGTCGCAGTTGTATTGTAGATTATGTTGTCTCCGGGGCCCCAAATGGCATAATCCTATCACTGTAAATGCCTCTCCTTTCCTCAGTTATCTTTTGATAATCAGTACCTGGTAGTAAAATTGGTTGCCACCTGGATTATATCCAGCGCAAGAGACCTCATTGGAAATATCGAGGTCCTCAAACTGTAGCTGTTAGTTAGCAAGAAAATTGCAGAAACTGGAAGAAACTGGAAGAAATTGCAAACAAACATTCAAAACAGCTGTTCTAGCTAGAACGCATTGAAAGGCAAGCTTCCTATCAAACATAGTTTGAGTAAACACATTATTGCAATTCGTAAACTGTAAGATCTGGAGTTGACAGTTATGATGATAATGAAAGAAATAATACGAAAGAAAATGATGCCAAACCTAACTTTATATACCTAAATCATAGTCTTGGAAGTTCCCTGTTACAATTTACTCTCTTGTAAAAGATTGTTCTTCTAAAGCAGCTGCTTCTACTACAATGATTGCTAATATTACAATAGCAGCCTCATCTCTTGCCCTGGTTAGCGTAATGATACAGCGTGTTGCTACAATACTTGAATTGTCAACTTATTGTCATTTTCGGCGTCTTACAAGTCCCGGAATAAGCTACAGTATGTTACTAGAATAAGTAGGTAGCTAGCTGTATGGATCTTGCATATGTTACATTTACATATTAGCGTTCTTGTTAACTCTACTGACTTATTCTATCTAATGATTCCTAATCAGTTGGAAATTTGAATGCTATGATCCTTGCTGTTACGGAATATATATATATCACAACATGCATAGCCCAAGACCCTCATTTCGATATAGAGCTGTTGCTATAAGTATACCATGCTTGTGCTATGAGACATTGAGTTGACTGGGCAGTCCGCAGTTACTGTAAGAAGTATCTAGCATTACTGGTATGCTAGTTATGTTCCTACAGCAGAGGCCAACATTTCCAATCGGCCCTTTAAAATCTGTAACTATTTTATGAATTCAAGTCAATGTTATTGACTGACTATATAGGGCTTCGTCTGGGCGTATACGCTTTTGCACTTGTGAGAGGCTTAAATGCGCAACAGGGGGCGAGGACAAAGTTTCGACATGCATACAGTTACTGGCTTGTCGTTATAGCCTGACAGAATTTCCAATTAAATGAGATCTCTTGACCTCATATACAATGGAAAAATTAGAAGAACTTGCAAGCTTGATATAAGCATAAAAAACCGGGTATGAAGCAGTCTTACCGGGTTCTGTTGTAAAGTTAGCTTGACTCTCAATCAACTGCCCCACCTCTTCGATTACATCACCACCCAGGCAATCTACAGAGCGAACAAAACCACTCTTCCTCCCTTTCAAGCTCTACCTCGTTTACGTGATGAGGATACGCAAGGCATGCCACCCCGTCTTCCGCACACTCTCGTCACCGTCTCTTGTCCCCTTGCGCAATCAATCCTACGGTGTTGCGTAACTAGAGAATCCGCTGCCGCAACGACACATGGGCTGAGTAGAGCTTCGACTTCGGCTTCGGCGAGACAATCGCTGCTCTTGCGCTGTTGCAATGGCAGCCATAAGAGGGGGTTTCATGCGACGAGGCATCTCGCCCAGAGTGCCTTCGAAGGAAAGAATCATTATGAGCGGTTGAAAGTTCCGCTAGACGCCAGTGTAGGAGAGATCAAGAAGTCCGTCGGATTCCTCTCCTTCTACTTGCCATCATATCTAACAAATCCACCAGATCCTTCTATGCGCTCTCCAAAGCTCACCACCCCGACGCAAATCGCTCCGACCCCGACGCCGCCCACACCTTCTCCCTCATCTCCGAGTCCTACACCATCCTCTCCGACGCCTCCCGCCGCGCCTCCTACGACCGCGACGTCCTGCGCCTTCACCACCAATCTCACAACCCTCACCAAGCCTCCTACCACAGCACCAACCCCGCCGGCGGCCGTCCCCCCTCCGGCCTGAGCCGCCGCAGAGGAACCTTCCGCGGCCCTCCTCCCAGCTTCTACCGCAACGGCGGATGGGGCGCGCACGCCGACAAGCGCCACCAGGCACACGAGGAGTCCACCGGCAGCTCTGGCTCAGCATCTGAGACGGACCGCGCCAACCCATGGAACACGAGCGCCTTCCACCAGACGCATCACTACGGCGGGATGGGCCCGGGGTCTGATCCTTTCCACCACCGAGACGAGCACGTGCCGCACTTTGACAAGGCCGGCCACACGAGGACGCACGAGAGGCAGGATCACCGCCGGTGGAAGCGCCAGAAGAGGGCTGTTGGGGACGACGACATTGAGTTTGAGCCGCAGACGAGCCTGGCGGGGCACTTTTTGATCGTGGCGGGCATATTGGCGGCGACGTTTCTGGCACCGGCGGTGTATTTGCAGTTTATGCGCCTGGGGAGGCAGAAGAAGGAGAGGGAGTAGTGAAACGCGTGGTGCTCCGTCGTATTAATGGTTCTTGCAGATTGGCGTTCTGGGGAAGGCTAGCGCTGAGCGAAGGCCTTGTGTACAAATATAGAGCAGTGTATATTAGATGGGTAATGCAGAAGGCTATGAATAGCACACTTTTGCATTATAGCGGTTTCAAGGCAGAATAAGATGCTCTATCAAATGTTTGAAGCATACAGAGTCCCTCAACCGCCTCCTTCGGAGTACAATGGGTACAATTTTACATTGTTACGATATGGCTGGTGATGAGAAAGATAGAGTTCGAACAGAAAGAACAATGAATAATGGCAATTCAATATCATTCTTCGTCAAGCTATCGTGATTAGAATTACTTAAGTACCATAACGAGCGTAATATACACAAGCATGCCGCATCATACTCCAAGATATACATCACAATAACCAACAGACAACAGCCCTTTTTTCACTTGCGCAAAATATTCTTTATTTTCTCCTCCTTCTATCTACCCCGAGACTCAATCGCTAAGTCTCCTTTCGGTTTGTGGTTTTCATAAAGGTTTGGTCGGTCGGAGATGTAGCTGCGGCAATGGAGCAAACTACTCGGCCACATCGTCACTCACGTCTCACATATAGGCATGTATGTAGGCGCTAAATGAGTCATGGCAGTGATATCAGATTTGATATTTCTGAGCTTAACCCTCAAAGGTGAAGCTGGCACCGAGCTTGTGGGTAGCCTGGTCGAGCTTCTGGGTATCGAAAGAGCCACCAAGACCCAGGGTGACACCCTCACGGAGGAGGACGTTGTAGGCAAGAGCAGCAATACCACGGTCGTTGATCTTGACCTATCGTTGAGAAAAGAGTTTATTAGCAACGGAGTGCTCATTGCGATGGGATCTTTAGGGAGACAAACCTTGGCGAAGGAGACGGGGTCAATGCGGTACTTGCTGGCAACCTCGAGGCCAACGGTGTTGCTGGTCTTGGAGTTCCAGGTGGCCTTGGCACCAGCCTCAACCTGGCTGTTGACCTTGTGGTAGTAAGAAGCAGCAAAGGTGCTCAGGTTGTCAGTGGCGGTGATGGCAGCGCTGTACTGAGGAGCGACGTAGCCAACAGCGGCGCTGTAGCCGGTCAGGGCAGCCTTGTTAACATCATAGCCAGCGCTGGCACCGGCAAGGAAACCCTCGTGGCCGACAACGGCATCGACGTTGGCGGTGGGGCCCTTGAGGAGGTCGAAGAAAGCACGGCCGTGGAAGCCGGGCTGCTTGAAGAGCAGGTTGAACTTGGCACCCTTGGCGGCGGTGGCGGGGAGGAAGTTGAAGAGACCCTCGAGCTTGAGGCCCTTGGCGAGGGTGTCGTTGACCTCAACCTTGGTGTCGAGGGCGTTGGCGGTGTTCCAGGTCTGGGTCAGAGTCAGGCCTGTAAACGCAGAAGCGTTAGCAAAGAATTCGATGGAGTCTAGCAATGGGTGCGCATTGAAGTGTCTGCGGCGAGTTCAAAAGCGCGCGCCAGGGGAGAGCTGGTGTGTTTCAGTCTGCGGCGGGATGTCGTACCAGTAGGCTTGTCGGTGTATTTTCCCTCAATCTATTCATAGCAACAGCTAGGTCAGTCTCATATTCTTGTCCTAGAGGCACGTATGCCAAGCATGCAGCAATGCTCCCAATCGTCACGGCGAATTGCTCGCAGGCGTGGCGGGGGAGGGGAAAGGAGGAGATTGGGTCGGTGGAGTAAAACTTACAGCAGCAGAGGTGGCCTTCTCGTGGCTGGACTTGCCAGTCACCTTGAAGGCAACGCCATTGGGAGCAGTGTCCTTGAACTCAAAGGTGGTGGCGGACAGGTGGTAGAAGTCCTTGTTGAGGAGCTGTAGGAGGCAAGCAGGGTCAGCCGCGTCTGTCATCCGGCCCAACGGCTAGAGGCTATCGTGTAGCTCTAGCCGAGGGGTTATAGAGCAAGGAGAAAAATCAGGACGGAGTGGAAAGGCGCGCATACGTCGTTGGCCGGCTTGGCAATGTCGGAGAAGGCGGGGATGGACATTTTGGCGGTTTGTGAGGAGAAAGAAGAGGGAGAATAGAGATGGCGATTGAGCTGGAGGAGGAGAGAATAAGTGCGGTGTATCAACCAGAGGAAGAGGTTGCAGGAGATTCGCGCAGGCGAGGGAAAATGTTTTGGGCTCGGCCTCGGCCGCTGATTGGCCCATCAGTCGGTTGGGGAAGAGCAGCGCAGAGCGTCGGCTGATGTCGGGCCGGGCATATTGGGGGAAGCGGCCTAAGCTCGATTGGCGTGCAGTGCTACTTATGACGAGCTGTCCTGTGTCCACGTGGGGGAAGTGCTTTGACGGCAGCGGCTTTGATTTCATGCTGGAGATGCTGGATTAGGGGCAATTGCTGCAGCACCTGGTTTCAGGGTATTTCGTGCAATTGGGTGCAGTCTTTTGCTGCTTACAGCGGTTATCGTGACTCCCAAAGTGCCAGAGACTCAACGCGGGGTTGTCTGCTGGATAAAGAAGGCGGTAAAGGCGCTACGGACAGTCATCGCATTGACAGCGAAATCACTCTTCAGTCAAAGTCTACTAGTCGCGGTCTATACATATGCGCTCCGTAACAAGTTCATGCACAATGGGAGCTAGAAAAAAGGAAACAAAAAGAAGGTCTTTTGGACGACTCTGTTCAGGTTGAAGGACTCAATGGCGCCATTCTGTACTTCATTTCCCAATGCCGAACGATATCCGGACCTCGGGCATAGTATCATATAAGACTTATGAGAATAAATTCGATTTTAGTGGCATTTGATACTTTTGTCTGTCTGTAGCTTAACTTTTATATATACTGTACTACGTTTTCGCCTTTGAGACGTTCTTTCAACCAGCACCAGAAATAAATTTAGGAAATCTTGACATATACAACAAAGGCACTTTTGCCGACTCCGTTTACTCAGTGCCTTCATACTTGGCGTTGTGGGTAGCAATGGCTCTGTAAAGCTTATTAGTAGCTGTTTCTATCTTGATAAAAGGGATCTGGAAATAGAGATACGAACCTGCCACTGGGATCGGTCTGCTTAGACCAGGTAGGCGTCCATCGCTCCACGGTAGAAGCGCAGCGAGGAGGGAAGTGCTCATCAAACATGAGGCGGTACCAGTAACTGTCATAGCAGTGTTAGCTTCTTTATCAAACACCAATGCAAGATCGTATACGTACGCCTCCTTGGTATCCGGAATATCGGTACCCCACTCAGCCTTGGGGTTCTTCATCATCTCATCGGTGACGTGCAGTTCGGCGTTATCCTTGAGCGCATCGATCCATCCGTATCCGACACCATCGGAAAATTGCTCCTTTTGTCTCCATAGGATGGAGTCAGGAAGGTAAGGAGCAGTGCCAGGCTCGTCGGAGGTATCGAAAGCTTTTCGCAGAATGTACTTTTCCATCTTGTCCTTGGTGATCATCTTGTCCTGAGGATCGATGCTCATCGCAGTCTCCATAAACTATGGAAATGAGTCAGTCAAAAGGGGGTGGATATTTCACATAAGGCGGGTAACTCATACCTTCTTATCAAGGAAAGGCACACGGGCCTCCAGACCCCAGGCCGAGGTGGACTTGTTGGCTCGCAGACAATCCGCAAGGTGCAAGTTCTTGATACGGCGGACAGTCTCCTCGTGGAACGCCTTCTTGTCGGGAGCAGCGTGGAAGTAAAGGTAACCACCGAAAATCTCGTCACTACCCTCGCCACTCAATACCATCTTAATGCCCATAGCCTTAATTTTGCGAGAGAGCAGGAACATGGGCGTTGAGGCTCGGATGGTTGTGACATCGTACGTCTCCAGGTGGTAGATGACATCCGACAGTGCGTTGAGGCCATCCTCAATGGTAAAGGTCATGACGTGGTGCTTCGTACCAAGGAATTTGGCAACCTTGAGAGCGGCCTCGTTGTCCGGAGATCCTGGCAGACCAATGGAGAAGGAGTTGAGCTGAGGGAGGTAGGTAACGGTAGACAGGTTATCGTCATCGTCAACACCGACAAGGCCCTCTCCGTGGTCAACATCGGCCTCTGCAGTGGTAGCGGCTCCGCTAGACTCTTCGGACTTCTTCCTGAGTCTCAGCATCTCTCGCTGAGCAATGGAAGCGACCAAGCTCGAGTCGAGGCCACCAGAAAGAAGCACACCATAAGGGACCTCAGCCATCAGACGTTTTCTGACAGCCTTCTCCAGAGAAGTTCGGAGAGTCTTGTAGTCGACAGGAGTAGAGGGCACGTTGGTAGGATCCCACCAAGTAGGCTTGAAGTAGCGGGTGGTCTCGCCGGTTTTTGAGTCGTAGACGTGGCCGGGAGGGAAGGCAATGATCTTGTCGCAGACCGGGGACAAGCACTTGAGCTCCGAGGCAAAGTAAACAGCGCCAGGCTCCTTCCATGACCATCCCTGGTACAATGTTGTAACGCCAATCGGATCGCGTGCGGCAATGGTGCGATCTTGCTTCTTGTCGTAGAGAACGAATGAGAACATGCCATCAAGGCTGTTGGGAGCGTCGATATCGTGCTCCAGATACTATTGCAGGGGGAAACAATGTCAACCTATGGTCCTCTCACAGATTTTGCGTTGGTAGCTCCAAATACTTACCAAGGGAATGATGACCTCGCAATCCGATTGCGTCTTGAAGTGGTATGGCTCTTTTAGGTGCTTTCGGATCTGGCGATGGTTGTAGATCTCGCCGTTGACGGCAAGGATGATGGTGTCATCGGCGTTGGTCAAAGGTTGAGCACCAGACTCTAGAACTGTATGAGCGAGTGTCTAATCGTAGCATCATGCTTTGTCGAGCCGAGGATGAAAACTTACCAACACCGACGATACTGAGACGCTCATGGCACAGGACTGTGCAACTTGTCAGCCGAGGCTCCAATGTCTACGCTCTTCAACCAATTGACTTACTTGTGTTGTGAGAAATGACGCTTCCGCCTACACAAGCCATCCACGGTCAGCTAAACTCTTCTTCCAACCATTAAACTACCTCCATCAAATCAATTGACTCAAACGTACTCCAATCGGGACCTCGGTGTCGTATTCTATGCGCCATTGTCAATTGAGGTAGCTACCAGAAGAAATCAGATATACTTACGCCTTGGCCAGCTTCAGAGCTGTCGGCTTGAACTTTTGCACATCGGGATGGCTATTTGAGCGCATTGTGGTTAGCTACAGCTGCTTCTTCTCTCCCAAATGTTTGCACTCGTGATAAGGCGCTCGCTATCACTGCGGCGGGGTGTTGCCCCTCCAAAAGGTTTGTACGATGGGCAAAAGGATAAGGAAGCAGGACGAACCAATGACAAGCAAAAATGCCACACATCTTGTATGATTTCGTTTAGGATCAAGATATTCTGGTTGTAGGAAGAATAAATTAATTGGAAGAAAGGAAGAAGGAAAGAATTTGGTGGAATATGACTACCAGGACATGACTCTGCGCGACCACCTTAAAAATTAAACGCAGACCAATGCCAGGCTAAATGTACTAGCTTTCCACTCTAGCCTTCCGCCGACTTCGGGCTCGCTCAGAGTCACTGCCAGGCCATTATCATTGGTGCAAGCCAAGCCGGGTTGCCAATTACCTAAAGCAAAACTGATAAGAGAAAATAAAATGGACTTGGGCCACTTTGCGGTTGTTTGTTTGCTTGCCAGCGACCCTGCCTTGTCTTGGACCGAATGCTGTTCCAGTAGGTCGTTAAACGCTTGTTTTAGCCGACCTACCTAGAAGAGGTGCCGGCTGACAGCTGATCCTGGTGAGATGATTCACCTTGCAGCAGCTTGGGCAGTTGGGCTGATTCGGTAACGTGGCATATAAGAATTGATTACACCGATATGTCTACGTATAGTCTCAATTATCACTACTATTGGTGGTTTATATTAATCCCCGGGATTACTTAAAGCAATCCCATATGCATCGGTGGCCAGATCAGATAGGAAGAGTTGCACGTGGCAGATGACTGGGGTAGCAATAATGGTACATGGATTGATATATCAGGTAAAGGGCGTTTGGTCCTCTGGTCCGTTCACTAAACGTCCTCTAAGCATGTCGCTTCCCCATAGTTTTGATCCAGACAGGGTCAAGTCGTTTCAAATATCGTCAATTACTGCTATGTTCTCGTGTTCGCATCAAATCTACGCCCTTTCGTGGACAAAGTGCACGTAGAGTCACTCTTTCATTTGGAATCATATCGCCGATGCTATTCCGTACTCTCATATATCGTTGTCTAGCAGATTAGCTTTTCAGAAGCTAGTCAAACATGACCGTCTTCGGTAAGATTTGCTAAAAGAAAAATCGAAAAAAAAATCACATGTCCTGGTATTGCCCCCGATCAACGCCATGGCCAGTCTTCTCAATAGGAATGTCCCCAATGTCTAGAAGTCTTCAACACCGCTCCAACAAGGTCCGTTACGGCGCCGGATTCTCGCGGACCACACGGCGAATGCGCTTCTCGTATTCAGCCTTGTCTCTCTTGAATAGGTTGTATGCGTCGGCTTGCGCGGGCGATTCGGGGTTGGGATCGTTGAGGAGGTCTTGGATGCCGAGCAAAATCTGCTTGACTGTGATGGCTGGCTTCCACGCCTCTTCTTCGTTGAGAATCGACAAGCAGACGGTGCCTGAGGGGTAGACGTTGGGGTGGAACAGCGGAGGAACAAATTTGCCTATTGACATATCAGAAATCGATTGCGGTCACGAATATCCGCCATCGTCACTTACACTTTGGGGGCTTTGTTGGGTATTCTGGAGAGAAGCGAGAGAAGCGCGAAGTCAGTTTCGGCCTAATCAACCTTATCGTGCACGCGAGCACTCACCGTCGGGAAACGCAATGTTGAGCTTAAACAGCCCTCCCTCCCAGATTGTCTTTTCTTTGCCAGGAATGCCGCACTCCCAGTTCTTCAGATCGAGCACTCCTTCCTTCGTCCGAGCAGGCTTGGCGAAGAAGCCAAATGGATGGTCACGTCGCCATTGTTTCCTAGTGATCGGCATCGGTCAGCGCCATGAGATCATCTGGAAGATTGTGAGGGCAGCAATCACATACCGCTCCTCCTGTAATCTGTTCTGGCAAAGGGCCATCGTGTTATGGACCAAAAAGGCGAGCTGACAAAGAATCGCGAGACAAAGGCAGATCGTGGTAGCGTTGCCTTGCAAAGGCCGGTATGGTCTGCAATGCAAAGAGGGACCGCCGATCTCAGGCGAAGGAAGATGTTATGCAGGCAAACAAATCAAATTTTCTGTTGCAAATGGAGACAACAGAATAGCGATGCGCGCGTTACAGAATAGGTAGTCTTGGTTGGAAGGAAGAAGAAAGTCGGATAAAAAAACACAGGCGTCAGTAAGGCTGCGCGACCTAGAGCGTTTGCAACCAGGGATCAATCTCTCCTAGGCACCTGCCGGTCCCTTGCAGCACACGGCTCGCCGGCCTGTACAGTGGACAGGCGCCCTGAAGCAAAGCCGCTAGTAGTACTAGCAGCCCCAAGAACCTCAAAGAAGCTCCAGCGTGGGGCCCGGCATCGTCCAGTTTCCTCGGCTCGGCTTGTGACGCTGCATGTCACTTCCCAAGATGCAACGAGGCGCGCAGATCTGCTCGCAAGCTCTTCCAAGACTGCACCGTTTCTGTTCTAAATGCGACTGCCACACTATCCAAGCTTATCTTTGAGCACAATTGCAAGATACTGTAACGCTTTGCTCGTTTGCAGACGCCTGGATATTTCCCCAGTGCTTGTCCCGCGCTACCCCCTCCATTAGCGCCGCAGCTTAAGAGACCACCAAATCGAACTCCGATTTCTTGCGCATCTGGCTTATTGTGTTTGACGGCATCCGATTGTGAACGCGAACACCATGAGCTCTCCATCTGGAGTGGCAGATAAGGCGAAGCCGGAGGAGTCCGGGGCCAAACAAGGGGAGACCAAGCCAACAACACCAGCAGCGCCTGTACCCCCCGCCGCGACTGTATCGGACGATTTCGACGATGTTCCCGATCCAGATGAAGAGGACCTGGATGATCTCGATGGTATGGCCGCTCGTGAATTAGCTAAAGCTACTTATGCTGACCCGAAGATTGGTTAGAACTGCTTGACGGATTCAAGGCTGTCCGAAAGGAGATGATCGATGACGATACGCTGAAAGAAGGAATCAACCCCCCCGACTTGGACTACGAGAACATGTCAGAAGAAGAAGTCACCAACAGAATGCAAGCGGGTATAGCTGGTCTGCTGGCCAACTTGGAGCAATCTGTATGTTTATCTTTTTATCTCTGTTGGACATGTGCTATACTAATGTCGACTGTCTGCCTTAGCCGGAGCTGCAAGCTGAGTTTGAAGAAATGTTCAAGCAAATGGGTGCCGAGATGAGCGCCCAATTCGATACTGAAGAACAGGAAGAAGCGCAAACTACCAGCAAAGACAAAGCCAAGAGTACGCCTGCCGCCACCGCAACTCCCACCGCAACTCCCACCGCAACTCCCACCGCAACTCCCACCACGGCTGCTACCACAGCTGCTCCCGCCGCGGCTCCGACGACCGCTACATCGAGCACCCCTCAACCGGCGGCAGGCGAAAAGTCTGGTGCAGCGTTCCAAGATACCATTCGTCGTACCATGGAGCGCATGCAGTCATCTGGTGACCAAGCCACCGCAGCGGCTGCAGCGGGCGGCGATGACGACTTCTTGACTGAAATGCTCAAGCAGCTTACCGCTGGCGACTTTGCCGGTGGCAGCGAAGAGGACTTTTCCAAGATGCTCATGGGCATGATGGAGCAGTTGACAAACAAGGAGATCCTGTATGAGCCAATGAAGGAACTGCATGACAAGTTCCCCGCGTGGCTCGCCAAGAACAAGGATGCGACTCCTGCTGAGGACCTGAAGAGATACGCAGAGCAGCAGACGATTGTGGGAGAGATTGTGGCCAAGTTCGATGAGCCCACCTACTCAGACTCTAACGCGACTGATAGAGAATACATTGTTGACAGGATGCAAAAGGTAAACTCTGACCTTTTGTTTGGCCTTTCCTCTTGCGAAACATGACGACTAACAAGCTCTAGATGCAAGCAGCGGGATCGCCGCCATCCGACTTGGTGGGGGATATGGCATCTGCCCAAGAAGCGTTCAATGCTACGGAAGACCAGTGCAATCCGCAATAAACATTCAACATCTAGTCACGACGCATTCATATATACACGCACACTTATATATATACCCATAGTGCGCGCCCTATATGCAAACATTTTTCATCCTATACCAGTATATCCATCCAACGCCAATGTGAAGACATTTATCCGAGAGTCCCGAGGTCCCAAACTCCATAATTCGCCAAGTGACAGACGCTTCTTTCATACCATTCCCAATATTACCAATCATGATGCTGGTCTAATCGATTTCCATTTGGTTTGAAGGTTGTGAAGATTGATGCTGTTGATGCGGTTGCTGTTGCGGCAAAGGTTTTTGCTGTTGTTCTTGTGAAATGAGTTCGGCAAAAATGTCATCATACTCGTCATCCTCCTCGGCCAGTGCTGGAAGCCGGGATCCCTGCTGGGCCATTACTTCCTCTTCGTAAGACGTAAGTAATTGCTCTTCATCCATGAGTTCTTCCGGAATCATGTCCTCGTCCATTTGCGATTGTGTCGTTTCAGGCGAGAAAGTTGCGGCATCCTCGATATCGGCATCAGAGAATGAAGGTGCATCATGAGACAAGCGGCCGACGTTAGCTAACCAGCTCGTTTTCAGAAACTGCAAGTACCACCGTTAGCCATCTATTCGCTCCAAAAAACTATATTTTCCCCTTGAGCTTACTTGGCCCTCAATGTCTCTTCTTTGCCAAGATCTATCCTCGGCCTTTTGGCGGACATTCTGCAGGAAGCCCTTGCGCCTCTGCTCCTGGAGCTCCTCTCTTCTTTTCATGACGGGATTCGGACGCGCAGGCCGTGATTGAAACTTGGAATTATTGGGCCTGATTGGCGACGACTGGACCTGGCGAGGCTGCCATCGCGCGTCTTCCTCGGCCGCAGAAAGAGGCGATGAGACGCGTACAGGCGAAGACGATAGTGGGGATGAAACGGCGGGACGATTGTCCCACGAAGGAACCGGCTTTGGAGTAAACGACAGCATCTTGTGTGGTGCGGCTTCGTCTGTGGGATTTTGCATAAATGAAGGAGAAACCTAAGAAAAATTGTGTATAAGACAGTAATTACAGGGTGTTAAAGCTGGTGTGTCGTCTCTGAAAAGTGGCTGGTTGGAAGAAACGAATGCTCCATTGTCTCGCAGCGTCAATCAAGATCACTCAACACGGCCGATGCGACGCGCTCGCTGCAGGCGCGCAATCACGTGCCTCCACTAACGATGCGCCTCCCACATCTGCGGCGCCGGATGATCAGCAGAGCTGGCAGGGCCGATGGTGGCGGGCAAATCAGCGGCCGGCAGCAAAAATCTGATGATGTCGTCGTCGCAAGGAATTATCCACCGCAAAAAGTCCAAGGGTCTCCCAACAAAACTCGGCCTCCTTTTTCCCTTCCTCGCACTTCCTCGGCTTTCAATATCTATTGCGCTATGAGAGTCGCCAGCAACGCCTGAAATTATTCCTTTTTTCTCTTTTCCTTTTTTTTTTTTCATTTCCTTGGAATCTGCTCAAAGCGAAAGGCAGGCGCTCTGCATTATCACATGCACTAATTTTTTTTTCTTACACGAGCCGTCCGCCTCCCTTTTTGCCACGATACTCATAATGCCGATTTGCGAAAACTGAAGGAATCCTATGTCGAAACGTCTTTGAATGCGCCCCCTCGGCACCCCAAATGAACGTCTTTTCTAAATCCACCTTTGCGACGGCCCGCATCGGTAACCGCTCATGGACCTGTTCTGCGTGTCGTGGCCAATTGGCGCGCACTAGGCCGACCCGACAGATTATCGCGCGACGTTTTGTCTCGGGGCGAAACTCGTCGTCAGAGGGCAATGGCGGTGCGAAATCTGGGCCAAACGCCAGGCTGATTCTTTTTGCGTCGACTGGAGCAGCAGCTGGTACGGCGGCGCTGGCCTTCACCGACGAGATCAAGAACAGCTACGAGGCGGCGGAGAGAACAGGCAGAGTGGTTGCTGCGCTGGCCGTCTGCATTAACGAGTGAGTGCGCAATGGGAGGAGATGACACGTTTCCAGCGGGCGATGAACTAATGGTGATTGAATCATGATAGCTACCGAACGACCTTGAATACAAAATCCACGGTTGACGACGAAGAAAAGCAAGATCAAATGCTAAAGGCTTGCCACAAGCGATGCGCTGAGCGAACCCTCAAAGTGTTGGAGAAAAACGGCGGCATATTTATCAAGCTAGGACAGCACCTGGTAAGCGCCATTCTTTTCAACGAGATCAGGCAACATCTCAATGGACACGATGTGGCTAACATGAGGGCGACAGAGTGCCATGAATTACCTCTTACCTCCTGAGTGGACGACGACCTTTATACCGCTGCAGGACAAATGCCCCGTCTCATCATTCGAATCGGTGCAGGATATGTTCCGAAGAGATACGAACGAAGAACTGTGGCACTACTTTTCTGAGTTCTCGGAAGAGCCAATTGGCGCCGCCTCGCTTGCGCAAGTACACCTGGCAACCATCAAGGATACTGGACGCAAGGTGGCCGTCAAGGTTCAGCATCCCGAGCTGGAGGCATGGGCGCCCCTCGATCTTGCGCTCACTAGATACACCTTCTCTACGCTCAAACGATTCTTCCCCGAGTACGACTTGGAATGGCTATCTTCGGAAATGGATTACTCTTTGCCCAAGGAGCTTGATTTCAGGGAGGAGGCCGAGAACGCACGTCGCATGAAGGCGCACTTTGTTAAACATCCCGAACTGCCTCTCATCGTGCCGGAGGTCATGTGGGCGAAGAAGCGAATTCTCGTCATGGCCTGTGAAGCAGGCCGGCGACCAGACGACCTTGATTACCTTGACAAGAATGGCATTGACCGCGACGAGGTGTCGGCAACATTGGCACGAATTTTCAACGAGATGATATTCGGCGATGGTGCTCCGCTGCACTGCGATCCTCACGGCGGTAACCTGGCCATCCGCAAAAACACTACTCGCCGCGGTCTTGGTCGAGGCCCCAACTTTGACATCATCCTTTACGACCACGGCTTGTATCGCGACATTCCCCTCCCGCTGAGACGGTCCTATGCCAAGATGTGGCTCGCCGTCATTGACGGAGACATGGACCGGATGAAGAAGTATGCCCATGAGGTGGCTGGCATCAGCGAGGAGGATTTCCCCCTCTTTGCCTCTGCCATCACAGGCCGCGACTTCAGCGTCGTCAGCAAAGAAGGATCGATTCTCAAGACACGCAGCGCAGACGAAGAGCAAAACATGAGCGGCGCCCTCCAGGAAGGCCTTATCGTCGACCTTGTTCAAATGCTCGGCCGCGTTCCTCGCATTATCCTCCTCATCCTAAAGACCAACGACCTAACACGCAGTCTTGATGAAAACCTCCACACCAGCCAAGGACCTATACGCACTTTTATGATTCTAGCGCGCTACTGCACTCGGACTGTCTTCCACGAGCAGATCGAGGACATTATCCGCAGCGGATCGCTGCTCTGGCCTCAGAATGTGATGCGAGCTTTGACGGCCTGGATCGGCTTCGTAAGGGTCGAGCTCAAGCTGGAGGCATTTGAGATGTGGCTGGGAATCAAGAGGATGTTGGGATTCCGGGCTTTGGAGTTTGGCGGCGGGCCGCTAAGACAGGAGGAGATTTAGAATTTCTTTTCCCCGAGAGGGCGGCCTTTTTGCGAGAAGCGTATAGATTTTGATAGACTGTATAACTAGGTACCTCCAGAAAATGGTGGAACGGTTGGGGACGGAATGATGGGAATGTTTTTGTGTTGGCACGAGGCTATGAGCTATGTTATGATGCCGGATAGTTGAAAAAGTTTTAATAATTCAAAGGACATTAATAGATCATGCAATTTGCCCTCTACCTGAAGGATCGTGTGGAGGGAAAAAAAAAAAGGATAAGCCGCTTACCCAACAAAGGAGTAAGAAACCACAAAAAGGAATGGTGATTCCGCCCGGGCTCGAACCGGGGACCTTTTCGGTGGCGTTAAACGATGTTAACGAAATGTCATAACCAACTAGACCACGGAACCAGGCACATTTTGTTGAGATGAGGTGGCGATATTTCCATTCAGATTAGTTTCCATTCTGGTGGTGCTATGCTACTATCTACCGACAATACTCACAAAGTTGAACAACCAATTAACAAAACTGTTTTTCTAGACAAGGTCAACGTTAAAACAAGGCTCTCTACTGTTTTATAACCACCTTCCCGAACTAGTTAATCGCCGCTTTCGTTTCGTTTCATTGCGTTTCAACGGCTTCCGAATCCTCGAGCCCGGGGCTCCACTTTTCGAGGCCGTTCCGTGCCCTGCCGCCTAGAATCTCGGATCCGATTGTTCAAACAAATACAAAAGCAAGAAAGCACATAAAGAAGACCCTTTTATCCATAGATACCAAGTCCAGTTCCAATGCTTTCCACCCAAGAAGCTACCAAATCAAAAAAGAAAATACTATCCGAAGATAAAAACACGTTGCCCGTACAAAAACATCAAAACATATCGGAGGGGTATATCATCTCAAACAATCCTCGACTCCAGTTCACGCTCAGCCTCCATCAGCAAATCATCGCTACCTTTCGATCTAGCCAAATCATACACCGAGTAGCCCTTATGATCTCTAATTTCAGGGTCAGCACCGTTCTGTAGCAGCGGCCGCATCGAGTCTGCCGCTTGGGACATCACGGCATGATGCAGCGCCGTCATGCCGTCTCCATCTTGGTCGTTTGCTTTCAGGCCCATCCCGATCAACGTATCTATATACTCACGATGACTGTTGATAGATGCATACATGAGCAGATTTCGTCCGAAGTTGTCTCTAGCATCGAGCTTAGCTCCTCTCGAGACGAGCAGGTCAAGCAACACTTTGTCTTCCCTCAAGGTGTAAAACAGCGGCGTCTTGCCATCTTCGTCTGTGACCTCCGTATTGGCCCCGTTTTTGAGAAGAGCGCGGACAGTATCGACAGCGGAGGTACCTCGAGACATTGCTGCAAGGATCAAGGGAGTTTGCTTTTGCGTCGTGGTGAACTTGGTAGATGCGCCTGCTTTCAGGAGCAACCTGACTATATGTGAATTCCCACGACCTGCCGCAATTGACAACGGCGATGATTTACCATCGGTACAGTTCACGTTGGCGCCCGCATCGATGAGCACCTCGACAGTTTTCACATGGTTAGTATCAGCTGCCAAGAGCAGAGGTGTCCGCCGTTCCTTATCCACTGTCTCTATGCTCGCACCTCTGTCCAATAGGAGTCGAGTGGTATCCTCATGGCCTTGGCCTGCCGCCCAAGACAGCATGGTTCGTCCATTGTCATCCACGTCTTCTAAATCTGCTCCGTGGTTGAGCAATATTTTGACAATGGAAGTGTTGCCCTTGATGGCCGCATGCAATGCAGGAGTGTCGCCCCAATCGTCGCGGATTTCCAATGACGCGCCCTGCTTCAGCAGATACGGCACCATCTCACAATGGTCCTTGACAGCGGCCCAATAAAGTGCTGTCCGACCGCTTCCATCAGCCAAGTTGACGTCGACGCCTCGTTTGTTAAACAGCTTGACAGCATCCAGTCTGCCCAGCTGGGCGGCGTGAACCTGGGCAACCCCCGTATCGCCAAGGGACTGGTACTTGCCAAACCCAGGGCCGAGTAGCTTCGCCAAGACCCTGATGCATCCGCCATCAACAGCGTAAGATAGAGCAGACAATCCGGTGGCATCGTGGGCGAAAATATCGGCCCCTCGCTGCAACAGTAGTGTGAAGGTGCTCTCATTCCCCTTCTCCACGGCGAATAGAAGAGGGGTCTTGTCTTCACATCTCATATTTGGGCTTGCTCCATGGTCAAGGAGCAACTCGGCTATCTCGTCAAACCCGCGGAAAGCGGCTGTTCCCAAGATCATTGGGTCACGAATGGTGGCGCCATGGTCGAGTAGGAGCTTGACAGTGGGCAGATGCCCCTGGGCCACGGCGTATCTGAGGGGACAGTCCCTGCCCCTTTCAATTGCGTTGAGTTGGGCTCCGTATTGCAGCGCTTTGCTTGCAGTCTCGACGTTGTTCTTCCCCACGGCCCATTCCAGGGCATAGTTGGAAAGCGGTTTGTAGAGAATCGGGTCGAGGATGGCGAAGAAACGTTGATTCACCTTGGCCAGGGCGTTGACGTCCCTCGGTCGGAGCAAGAATCTGGCGATTTGATCAACTAATTCTTTTGGTAAAGCGTCCAGTCCCATCTTGGCTGGTGTAGTGTTGCTATGAGCGAAGATATGATGGGCTGCTTTAAAGATGTTTCTGTAGTATCGCTCTGGGCAAAGTTATGATGTATTGCTCTATCGATGTTGACGGTGCGGTAGCGATGTTAACAGAAGATGAATGAGTTTAAATAAGGACGGCGACGATGCTGATGACAACAACCGTTGCCACAGCCACTAAAGTCTAATATCAGTCATACGACAAATCAAGATGCGAGACAAAAGCTTTCAGCCTGATGACGATTGTGCCTAAGCAACTTACCTTTGGAGTGGCTTTACAGCGTGAAAAGTAAAACGCAGGGAGACGCAGTAGTGCGCACTTATAAAGCCACCAACCGGGAAAGGGGAGGAAGAGAAACGAATACCTACCTGTCTGGGACAATAATGTCTGGCTACTAGTATATGGGTACCCTGAATAAAAAGACGGTATTCTTTCCCTATATTCTGCTTTTCAAGCCTTTCTCTCTCTCTTTCATTCTTTCAGCCGTAGCAATGTTAAGGCTATGCTACCCTTTTCCGTCCGCCTGTTTCTCCCTCCCATACCTGGTACCTGTTCAGCGACATACATCCCTTGCGAAAGAACGCCCGCTTTCACGGGCCAGTCCATCGCCCAAGTATCAAATACCTGGTAACTATAGGTACCCACGTATCTACCTACCTAGGTACCTTAGTATAGGTATTTAAGGCAGATGGATGTGCATTAAGCAAGCCGCAATCTACTAGTACTCAGCGATAACAACGTCATGCTGTCTCCACGGATGTTGATATTTATAGGTAGAAATCAAGTCTACATTAGATTTCGTAGGTGGCACAAAAGGCTAATACTACTTGTAAGACTGACATCGACGAGTTTGCAAGTGACTATCATTGTGTCAAGTTTACGATATAGTGTAACATTAGCCCTCAGTGTAAAACCTTGGGATGAAATGTTTGAACATACTGTCTCTCTGCCTTCTCACTCACTCCCTTTCTCTTCCCTTAAAGACCCCCTGTCAGCATATACGGTTTCGCCCTGCTTCATGCAAGCAGTAAACCCGGCCAGTCCCGACGTGACAGCTGTTTAATCCTAGTCCTCAGCTTAGCTTCAGCCAATCCTAAGCGTGTTGAAAGCATCGCCGGCAGTGCGGCCCTTGCCGCTACGCCAAAACCCGCATTCCGGCCGCGAATGAGTTTTTACCTGATTTGTATAGACCTTTTGGAGTTACTTGCCTCTTGGCCTATCAGACTAGCACAGGGGGTGCTTCCCGGGTTCTGAAAGACGGGCTCTGCGGGCGTTATCCGCTTCAAAGTTATGTAAACTGCGTCTTGGCGAGTGAAAATGTCTTTGGATCTGCGATTATCGTGGCGGTCAGCCCAAGTCCGATGATTACAACGGTGATAATAGCTGTGCTTCTGGGATACCTTAGTAGTAGTCAATGGTGGGGAAATATAGGTACCTAGGAGGTAGCCACAATAAGTGAGCAATGTCGTTTTTAGGTTTAACGTCTCCTTATAGTATTGAGTACTTTGATAAGCTACAACGTTGAAAGAGGCTTTCCGGTTAGTACTATCAGGCCGAGGATTGACCACGCCAATTCGGCCGCATTATGGGCTTCTTTTGTAACCAGTTAGACTATGTACTATTCAGAAACAAATACACACACAAGCCTACATACAAAAGTCTAAACAAATATGTTACGTACGGCGAGATGAAGTCGGCCAGGTTCCAGGTTGTTGCTCGCTTTAAGTAGCCTCAACAGGGCTGTGGACCCTTTCACCAATTTACACCTGACCCGCGGTGTCTTTACCTGGTTTTCTTGCCATAGTATTTAGGTAGGTGCCTAGGTAGTAAAAGAGAAGAAAACAATCTTCCATGTACCTTGCGTGTCTGGCTCCACACTGCGGTACAGTTTTACGAGAAAATACAGCAGTGGCTTCATGGGGTTCATCTAATCCATATATGGTACTTCGCCACATGCTTGTTCAGGAAATAGGTCGCTTAAACCAACTCTAGTGCTTTTCACGATGCATCTCTACAAGGCCATCACTTGCTTGGCGAGTCTTGTCAAACTTTGAAATATGATAGCATTCGGCAGCTACTTTTCCATAGGCATCTTTGACCATCGTCCTCATATAAGTCATGGCTTGCAAGGCACCACTATTCAACCCTCATTCCCAAAATCCAAAGTTCAAGCCCCCCAAAACCAAGTCATATCGTTTCGTGCTTGTAGAAAAAAAACCTTAAACCCCCAAACGCCATACTGTAAAACCAAAGCACATCATGATCCAAGCGAAACGTACACTATAGTAAATTACTCAAATGATCCCTTGCCCAACAGTCCTCCAACAAGTCCCGCTCTGCTCTCAGCGCCGCGAACCTTCTTCTCCTCTCTCCTGCGTTCGTTCTCTTGCATCCGCGCCAGTTTTTCATTGTCCCTTGCGAAGCCATTGATTCCACTCTTCTTGCCCGCGCCTTTCTTGATCTTGGCCTCTTCACCAAATCCGCTTCCGGATCCACTACCTGTCGCCATCGTCGTCGAAGAGGAAGATGTAGTAGTACTAGCCGTTGACAGCAGTGATGAATTGGTGGTTGCGCGACGTAGAAGTGACGCAGGGACTTTGAAGGAGGAGGATGAACCACCCGCAGTAGTAAAAGCGAGGCGATTCGATGACGAAGACAGGCCAGATGAGGCATTGCGCTTGAGGCTAATACGATCAACGACAACGTTGCGTGAGCGGCGGGAGGCAGGAGAGTGATTCTCCTTGTTCCCTCGTGACGCAGGTCGAGCTTCCTCATCCTCGCTGTCAGAGCCAACCTCAGTGGCCGGGATTACAGAGCTATGCCGTCCATCTTCCAGCAGATCAGACAGCGTCTCCCGAACCTCGCCAATGTTTGATGGCTTCTTGCCATCTTTGGTTCTCCTCATATGAGCGGGAGCTCTGTTATCGCCAGCATTACCAAGCGGCTTGCGAGGCTGACTATCAGGAATGATTTGCCGCTGCTGTTGCTGCTGCTGTTCAGGTTGGTCAGGCTGTTCACTTTGAGACTGCGACTCTTCTCCTTGTGAAGCTGGCGCGTCGACAATTTCCAAAAAGTCCATTTCGTCGTCACTGCCCCGATCCTCCATAGTGCGCAAGAAAGCTTGGTTACCAGGATTCTCAGCCATCTTCTTGACGCGCTCATCGGAAAACAGGGCCTTTTGCATCTTTGCAAACTGGCGGCGCTTCATTCTCCGGCGGGCTTCTCCACCGTCATCAGAGTCAGAGAGGTCATAATCAGCTCCTCGCTTACGGCGAAGCAAGCCTGATGTGATGTCCTTGTACAGCTTTTCAACTTCCTTTTCGTCATTTATCCGTTCTCGGTCACTGAAGAATGTTAGATGGTCTGAATCCTTCGTCTATGGTCTAAGAGATGCCAGAAACTTACGCGTAAAATGCGGCCAGCTTACGAGCATCAACGTCATTGCCAGCGGCATCATCAATGATGTCTTGCACAGTAGCATCAAATTCGTCATCGCTGTCTTCGCCATCCGCTCCACCAAGCCCGGCATATTCGTCCTCAGATTCTTCGGCTTGTTCTTCCACCATTTCCTTCGCCTTGCTCTTCTTCTTGTTGAACTCTTCTATGAGATTCTTCTTCTTCTGTTCGGCAGCAGCGTTCTGAAGTATATTGAAAGCAGATTTAGAGGAATCCAGTTCTTCGTCTTCTTTTTCCGCATTTGTGGAAATTGCATTCTCTTCATTGATGGATGACATTTCCATTTTTCGTCGAAGCCTTCCCCTACGCACAAGTGGAGAGCTTTCGATTGCGTCTCCGTGCTGGTCCGCCGGTATCGTCTCCACTGTGGAAGTTGGAGGCTCGACAAACCTCGATTTCAGAGGCGTATATCTCTGAAGCCCCCCATCCTGCGAAGGCTCAATCATATCAGAAATTTGTGAATTCATGTCATCTCGTAGGAGACTGTCCAATCCATGCATCTGTGACTGCGCAAGGTTGAGCTGAACGCCCTGCGTAACGCCCTGGGTTCCATCTCGCTGAGAGTCTAGAACCATATCTTCGACACTATCTTCCATGGCAGCTGAAAAGTTGGAGTCGGGGAAGTGATCGAAATCGGGCATCATTGACTGTGTCGGTTCAAGTTGGCTCTTCTGATTCTCATCCATTGTTCCCGCAAATATTTGGGTAAGGCTAAGGCCAGCAGGTCCCTCAACAGGAAGGCCAGGAATGAATGTCTTCTTGGCAGATCGCAGTACGGATGCAGGCGCGGCAGGGGAGTCGAGCGTCGGAGTAGCGTGGGCCCTTTTGGATTTTGGCGTAGCTTCGACGGTGGGCTCGCCTTCATCGTCAGACAAAACGGCAGTCTTGTTCTTTGTTCGTTTTCTTCTAAACGCAGTTGCGTTGTCGGCCTCTTCGTCTTCATCATCAACAACTCCCTTGTTATCAAGCTGAGGAAGAACATCCGAAGTTTCGGATGCTGCATCCTCTTCCTCATCTGCCTCGTCCGCCTCAGCATCAAACATGGCCAGTCCCGCCGCCTCGTCTTCTGCCTCTGATGCTTCGTCTTCCTCGTCTTCTTCAGACCCTGAGAGCTCAACAGCAGACCCCTCTGCGTCTGCGTCACCGTCTTCGTACTCTTCGTCGTCACTATCGTCCCACGCCAAAGGATCTGCTTCGCCACTCTCTTTTCCTTCTTTCTTTTCAGCCGCTGCCTCCTCTTCCTTAATTCGCTGAGCCTCCTCTCTAGCTTTTCCCAGGATATCTTCAACCTCCTGCATCTGTCTTTCTCGCTCTTCTGCAGTCTGGACGACGATACCTTGGGCTTTCAACATCTCAAGCCTTCGGTCTCGCTCGGATCTTGCCTGTTCCCTCGCCTTTCGCAGCAGAGTAGCTTGAAATTCGCCGGGAGTCATTCCCTCCCGCTCGTTTTTGCGCTTCGTTTCTTTTCCGGGAGTCGTTACGTGGGCCAAAGCCCGCAAGGCTAGTATTGAATGCGATTCCTGCGCTTTTCTAAAGGGAACATTGTTGAAAACAGCATTCAATCTATCTTGAGCTGTAGTTGTAATCTCCAACTCGTCGTCTGAGTCGGCGGCAGTAACTCTGGGAGGAATCGGTAGTCGCACTCTCACTCGGCGTTTAGTTTGCGTAGGCTTGCTTGGTTCCTCGATTTCAGTCGCTAGCCCTTTGCCCTTGTCCAAGCGTGTAGGATATGTTTGTTGAACATCTTCTGTATCATAGTTGAATGCCAAATCATCTAGTCTCGCCGTAGCATCTTCGATGCCTTGCGATTCCCGCTTCTCTCCAGCTGGTGGCGAGCTAGGCGGCGTCTCTTTGTTCGCATCCCCATCGGTTGGAGGTGTTACCGGCCTGCTTGAACTATGTGTCGGAGGCTCCGATGCCTCGCCTTCTGTTCTGAAATTGAAACGCTCAAATAGGCTTGCTTTAGAGAGCTTCTTTCGTGTCTTGGCTTCGTGGGCCAGCTGCATGTTTCTTGCCATTCGCTGAGTCTCTCGGTTAAGCTCTTCCATGGCCTTTTTGCTTGCTTTTCTCGTTGGACGGGCTTCTTGTGTCAATCTTCGCCCCCCTTCATCATCTGTGATACCCTCTCCATCATCTCCAGAATCCAGCTCCCCGAGTTCAGATGCCAGCTTTTCCTGCTGTGCCCGGCGTTCTGCTTTCCGCGCTTCTTCTTCAGCCTCTCGCGCGAGGCGCTCCTGTCGCTTTCGTTCCACCAGGGCCTTGAAGCGATCTGACTTGACGGCAGGCAGGTCTTCATCGGATTCTACTTGGTCCTGAGGCGCCTTTGTTGATGACGAACGCACTGGCGAAGAAACAAAAAGGCCGGGGCTAGGCGATCGATGTGAGAGTTCTGGGGCCTTTTCTTGTGCAGCACGGCGCTTCAGCCGCCGAGGGGCAACCGGAAGCTCATCTTCATCTTCTTCTGAGGCGCCATCAGCATCTGCCATCTCGGTATCAGTGGCCTCTTTGGATTGCGCCTCCTCTTGTTCCAACATTCGTCTCACACGATCCCTCGCAGTTTCTGCATTATTGGCTGTCTCCGATTCATCGATACTATCCGAGGGGCCTTGCATCCGAGCGGCCAGCTTTCCTCGTGGCCGTATCTGGACAGCCACCTCAGAATCGGAATCCGACTCGTCGTACTCCTCTTGGGCAACCGTCTTGCTTCTCGGCGATTGCGCTTTCGGTTTGTTATCTTTGCCTTTACGGCTGCTGCTATTGTCGTCGTCATCGCTGCTATCTACCGTCGCAAGTAATGCCTTGATTTTCGATCGCGGTGTAAGTAATTCTGGAGTCGCATTTCGAAATGCTGACGTTGGAGACCGTGGCGAAGCCATTGTTAATACCAATGGCCAGCCAAACTCACGGCCGTATTCGGTTATGAATGTGAGTTCTTAATAATACTGAAAGTATAGAGTATAGCGTTAAGAAGTCAAGACATGGCATTCGGGTTTAGCAGGCATAAAGTTGCAAAGCAGCGACACGTTAAATTGCGTGGGGAAACATTTACGCGCTTTTGACGCGACGCATGTCAACGCGCAGTGCTCGCCCACTAAATGGGGCAAAAGTGACCTGGAAGCTCCCCGCATTCAACCCACCTCCAAAGTTACTAGTAGATAGGACAACCAGCCTACACGCCTATACACAATGAAAAGCTTTATGACCCGATGCATTTATCTGATACTTTTTGTTATTGATACCATGGCAAATTAATTCAAGGTGACGATGAGAGCTTATTCGGACATGAGATGTTCCTGCTGCAACATTCGCATCGATTTCACACTGCAATGTTCAAGCTCACGACACACATCTCCTGGGAAATCAACTGGTGGCAAAATCAGTATTGTTCCATTGTCAACCAAGGCGTAGCCTGGGTTGCTAATTCTACCTATTTTATATCATAGCTATCTAATGTATCCGGTAAAGACTGTCCAATGTTCCTGTGTCCTCCTCACGCAATCCTCTGGGCTCAAAGAGCCTGTCGTGTGTCTGCAAATCAGAACCGACTTAGAACAGCTTGTGCTCCAGAGTCATTTCAGATTCCGGCTCCAGGCCAACGCAAGCGCGGAAGATGTTGGTCAATGCCGCACGCTGCTTAGCCAGAGCGTTCACAACGGGAGTGCCCGGAGGAGTCAGGGGAGCCTTGAGCATGTAGCTGAGGACACTAAGGACGCTGTGGAACTGCTTGAATTCAGCAGTCTCGTGGCCGTCATTGGAAGCAGCCTTCCACTGGATACGAGTCATCATCTCAGCAACCACGACAAGGTCAATGATCAGGGGCGAGGCCAGGAGAGAGTCCTCGCAGATGTTGAACAGACTGTTGCGACCAGTTAGTATGATTGTAGTTTTTCTGAATGGGCCGCGCTACAGCAGCACATAATCTCAGTGTAGATTGGAATGAAACTTACGAGATGGTTTGGTGGCCACCGAGGAAGATCTCAGCGTAGTACTCATCAAGAGCACGCTTATTGTCGCCAACAGCGGGCATGTACTTGATGACAACGCAGTGGTCGGGGTGCTCGCCCTTCTTGTACAGAATGTCGTTAGCCGCGACCATGTCATCCACGACATTGGACTTGGAGATTTCCTTGGAGCGGAACTGCTTCTGAGAGCTCAAGTTCTTGCCGTCGTTGTTACCAAGGTGGTTGTAGCTGGCAATAGAGGTCAACTTGATACCGGCATTGATAAGGAAATCCACCAGGGCGGACTTCATCTTGGTCTGGCCAGACTTGAAGTCATCGCCACCAATGTAGGCATTGTGCTTCTCAGCAAGCTCAATAGCACCAGGAACAAAGGTGTTCTGAGGAGAGCCATTGATAAAAGGTGCGCCCTCCAGGATACAGGCAACAGCAAAGATGGTGGAAGGAGAGACCTCCTCGTGACCCTGCTCAATAGCCTTGAGAAGGTTATCGGCAGTGTCGTTGACTCCATCAATGAGGTCGGCGAATCGCTCAGTGTTGGCGGTCCACAGAACAATCACCTTGTCAAGGTTGTTGTTGGCCTTGAAGTCGCGAATGTCCTTTCGGAGGTGCTCGACATGAGCCATCGAGGCCTTGGAGCCCTCAATGACGTTGTCAGCTCGGTCTTCCTGGTTGGCGGCAATGAAGTCGGGGTAGTAGATGGAGGGAAGAGGGGTCAACCCAGCCATCTCCTTCCTGACGTGAGCCTTCAGGGCAGGCTCCAGGACCTTGGCGCGATCCATGGCCTGAGCCAGGTTCAGCGAGCTGATGTCCCAGCCGCCAATGACCAGGTCGTTGGGGTGGACCATGGGCAGGAGATTGTGGAAGGGAATGTTGACCTCCTGGTTGGTCTTGGCGTCGGCTCCAAGCTTGACGGTGGAGCTCATGACGACGGAGCCATAGTAGTTGGCCTCCTGGACGCCTTCCTTGGTATCCCACACAAGCTTGCGGCGGTTGGCAATGATACCCGCGGTGACGGTGGTACCATTGTTACCACCCCAGCCGACAAGCATCATGCCAACCTTGGGAACCTTGCGGTCGACCTTGAAGTCGTAGAGCGTTTCCTTGGGAGTCGCCACAAAGTTTCCATTGGCGTCAGTCTCGACGCTGGTGGTACGATAAGTATACTTGGAGCGGATTTCCGACTCAGTATAATTGACATTGGGGGAGTTCACGACGAAGGTGCTCTGAGCAGCACCAGTGGACGCCGTGTGGCCATTGGCATAGCCATTCCCGTTCGAGGAGCCCGTGCTTTCTTCCGCGTGAGGGGCCATATTGACGGTTTGGCGGGACGCGGGAGTGTTTCTAGTTGAAGGGTTCTATTTCTCTAAATACGACCTTTATTTGCAATAGGTCGAGTCCGCTAACCCTCCAGTGGCAGAGCAGCGGGCTCCGGCGAACGGGTTGTGAATCCTGCGATCAGGTTAGTCGTCGGTTTCTGTCAACATTTTGCAGCAAGAATACATACGAGTTCAGGAAGTTGGAAAACGTCTTGACGACTGGATGTGGTCGAGGGATTAGACTCGACCAACAAATTAGACCTGTAAAAGGTGGGATGGAGGGGTTGTTGAGACGGAAACGAAGTATTAGCCAAGCAGTGCTAGTTGAATCGGCACAGAACTTTCTGAGGTTTAAAGATTCGGTTTGCTTGCAGAGCGATACTGAGTTTGTGGTTTACGGTGAGAGAGGGAAAGGGAAAAGAAGCTTCTGGCCGGTTGGGGAGACGGAACCGTTTTGTAGTTCGCTTCGGCTTAATATGGCTCTACTCTGATTAGGACAGCGTACATGTACCTACCAGCGCTAAGAGGCGGCTAGCTCTACCAAGTAGACCGATACTTTTTGAAGCTTTCGGATGGCTTGGGCCTGGACCTTGCTGCAAGCTGAGCGGTGAAAAACAGCGCACAAATTAATAACGTTCAATGGAACCTTTTCTGCCTACCTTATGCATCCGGATACGGGACGGGCGGATTTCGGGTCCGTGGGAATCTCCCACTCCGGAGGAGCTGACGACGAGTACAGAGACGACTTGAGTTTTGGCGTATACACTCGTCAATCAAGGACAGCATTGTGGACTTGCAAATAAAGTCAAATAAAAATCACCACAATATTTAGCACTCTACGGGAAAAGAGGACCAATGAGTACCCCGTGGGATAGCGCTTGATTCCCCATACCTACATGTACTAAGCTCCACGTTAGGTACTATCATCACCCTGAGCCACTGCTGGCACAATGGCTGCCTCTCATCTCCCTCGTCCCTCGAGATGGCACACCACGGCACATAACTCAGACCCGAAGACCGCGCGTTTCCCTGCGCGTATGTACCTGCATTGGTGGGCACAGATAAGCTGTCAAAAACTGCACACTCTGTTGGCTCCTGCTGTGGTGTAAAAGCAGATTGGTAGACACATGTGATCCATGTGGGGGCTCTGATTCCACTCATTTCCCCAAACAGGCTTCCCGGCCGTCCAGCCATTGAGAGTTGTCAGGTCTATCTTTTACGCTCTGCATTTACTCATAATTGACGCGTACAACACCGGGTGAATTCGGTCTGTGGATGGAGATTCATGCAGGTGCAGACCTGAATTAAGCAGGAAATTGTTTGCGTGGCTACGTGTTCGCTGACCTTTTGCATCTGCCAATGGAGATCAGCGTCGACCGCTTTTCCTGACCGCATATACCTACATGTATGCTGCATTTGTTGGGACCTTGGCTGCCAGGCATCAGGCCACTTGAACACCTCTATGTCGGCGCCAGAAAACGCTTCGTGCATCAAATGTAACCAGAGGCATTTTTCAATGGCTAATAGTCTCTCCAACCCTACACCGTTCTTTGTAGACGTGTCGATCGCTCTCTCGGTAGCGAGCTGAATGCTGGCACCAGAGGGTCCTGGATGAAGATGTGCATGTTGTAGCATGATGGCCCAGCTCAGTGTAAATTGGCCTTTTCTGTCTCCAAAGACGAGCAATGGTATTTTCTATATTTCGTAAGTGGGACTTGAAGCCACTCAGGGAGGCATCCAGCACACAATTAGTTACCACTTGGCATTGCATATCGATGGATACAACTCACCCTAATCTCCTCTGTCCGGGAGTGTTCGTTTTTGCAACAGCACGAACAGTGGCATGTAGAATTGTAGCCTTGGTAAAAACAACAAAGTGTTACTACATTAATAACTGAATAAGCATATCATCCGATTACAATTTAATAACATAAAGCAATGCCTCCGCTCTCCCATAACAGTTGCATGCTGGCAATCTTCAATTCAAGTGTTCGTCTACCCTACACTGTTCCAAATCTGGCAATCTGAGGCCACGCAGAGTTGACCTTGTTACCCGGTATAACGGACATCCTTGCCAGACGAGCCGTACTTTGCCTTCATTACAAAGTGCGTCAACTGCTCTCGCTTAGGACGTGTATAGTCGAGCACGTGCCTTGATATCCAGAAAAGGACTTATCTGCCTTGGTCATCATCTCTGCTTTGAGAACGGGAAAATATGAAACCGAAACAGTCGGCTTCAAGCAACATGTCGTGTCACAGATAGATGAAAAAAGCGTCAGTAATATCAAAACTGTCAAAGCACCCCCGGTCGCAAGGCTTGCCAGGATATATTGTACTGCGATGTTACTTTGAAAAGGCACAGCGTGCTCAGGGTAGCACCCCGATATTGCGGGTTTTCAAACCAGATATTTTACCTTTCGACCATGGCCAGCCATTGGCGCTCTTGCTTAAGCAGCCAAGCTGCTCGTCTTTCTTGAAAGGAACAAATGTCTGAACAAATCTTGGCTATTACAGAGGTCATATACGTGTAAAGTAATGCTAGCAGCGACTGGGGCCTTGGATGTGACGCTGTGCCTGCCAGGGTTGCTCGAACCCAACACCAAGGTCAGCTACCTTACCTAGGATAGCCATCGGCAGCAGCTCACTTCAGCAGGTGAAATATAAGCTGGGCAAGCTTAGTCCTCATACCCCATATTCTCTCTCTCTGTGGAGTGACGATAAGCCGCAACTGAGCCGAACAGAGATGATGATCACCGATCCAAATGCTAAAGAGGAAATGAGAGCACAAGAACAGCGGTGATAGGCGGAGACAGCCGTACCGCACCGCGACGCCAGCCTCGCCGCTTTTGCGCTTCCCAAGTAGGAATGGCAAGTATTATGCGCTGTAGAACCGAGACTGCGCCGACATTTTGCTCATGCGCGATGGAACCAACAGCTTCTCTCTTTGTCGCAGGGCCGAGGGCTCTACCGGCCGCTTTGTCGCTCACGCCCATCCTTGGCCTGAGACACTGTGCTGCTGCCCACGTGCTGCTTCTATTCTTTGCAGTCTGCGGCCCGAAATGATGATTCTATGTAAGACAATGGGCAAAGTCGAGGGGCGCTTATTGGCGAAATTTATAGCAAAAGGCTGAAGAAGGGACGTCCAATGGTTCCGACGCCAGAGCGATCAGACGGAGCATGGAACTGTTCGAGGGGTGTTCGACTCGCTACATGTCGGGTGTCAGTTATAAGCGTGCAATCTGAGCAGTCAATTTCCTGAGGTAGCGCTATTGGCGACTGCTAGCAAGCGTGTAGTGCTGCCGCTAGTGCTCCCAGCGCTGGCACAATCTCTCCCACCAGCCACTGAGGCCGCTGACCCTTCGCCCCCGAAGAGGGATCCTCGCAGCGCCTCCCCCAGCTGCCCCCCCTTATCAGTGGGCAGGGTCGCATCAAGGAGGGCCCTGCAAGGTACGCAGCCCAAAAGAGCGACTCGCAGTGGCGCTACTGCGGGCCTCATTTGCCCAGCTATTCTCTTTCAGCGAAGCCTCCGGCTTGGTGCGCTCTTTGTTACAGCCTGCGCGCATCACGAGGTGCGAATCTTCATGTCGACGAAAATGAGCGTCTGTACTAACGGGTGGAGATGGTGTTTAGCACTCTGATACACACCTAGCGGGAGAGCTAAAACCGCAAGTCAAACAGGCCTTTGCTGGGCAAGGCCGCGCTACACGATCGGTGGAATCTGCAACAAAGTGCCTTTAGACTCAATTGGACACCGGGCTTGGAGGTGACTGCTCGCCAGACAATAAAGGGAGTGGGTATTGAGACGATGCAAATACGACCAAGAGCCTGATTCTCGGCCTCCCTGTCAAGGGAGCGGCTTTAAGCTAGCTGTGCAACCGTACTGATGCGGTGCGGGCGACGTTATCCAGGGCTGTGATCTTCCGACGAGCGATGAATGCAATTCGGAATATCGCATGCCTGTGTGCATTGCGCTCGTGCGCCGCGCTGTAGATACGCAGTTGACTGATATATCTAGGCGTCCATCAACCGGTGGTTGTTTTGGCGCAGCATATGTGAACATAACCACCACGCCTGCATCTTCCTCTTCTCCAGCCTCGTTCGTGTCTCGCCTCGTATTCCATTCGCATCTCGTGTCTGCTTCTGTCCATCAAGCCCGGACGGCTCGCAGAAAGAAGAAAAAGGTAAATTCCACACCGCAATCACCGCCAACGTTTAGCCACGGCACTGCGAGGCTGCTGCGACAGGGGCTCGCGACCTGATCGCAATTAGCTTACACCAAAGAGTCCTGGGCCAGTGACAGGGTCCAGGGGTCGTCTAGTCAGGGGTCTGCCACCCCCAGCAACACTTTTCCGTGACCTCCACAACTCGAGACACTATGCGCAACATCACCGTCTGCAGGTAGCCTTTCCTCCAAAAGCTCGCGACTCTATTCCCCCTTCCATCTTCCTTTCCTCTTCGCCAATTCCTCCTCCTAGCATCGTAGGCGAGGCTTCAAGCGTCGTCCACCGCAGGAACCGTCCGGCGCGGGCTTGACAGCTTTCAACGGATCCTGGTTCCCGCTGTCACACTCTGCCGGAGCAAAATAGGCTTGCTGGAACACTCTACTCTGCCGGCGGCTCCTCGCAGCGAGGCTGCGCTTTGGCGGCTCCAAACCTGTGGCTCGAAGGATCTATGCACAGACAAAGAAGAAACTTGAAGAAGGCAGAAACAGGAGGAGTCGTGCGCACGGCTGTCGCGCAAATCGTCATCGATTCTACCGTATTAAATAGCCTGCTCTCCAACCATCCCGCCTCGGCGAGACACGACAACCACCGCTCGTGACTGCGTTGTAGCACGTGTCGATGTTGACATATCCGATGTGTTCCTTCGCGCTGGATTAACACTTGAACCACTACACGGAAGAACAGTTCCACAGGACACTGCTTCGCCGTCATGCAGGGACTGAGAGAGTCGGCGTTTCTGCCGACGATCAAATGTTCGTCATGCGGCTTGCA